TAAAAAAAATTTTTTTTACAGACCTTGACCCCCTGAGCTTTAAATCACATTGACTGTCAAGTTCAAAATTATTGAATTTTGGTTAAGTTGTCATGAGGGACATGGTTCCCTCTTGCCAGTAACATGGCTCTAAATTTCTATATTACTGCATTTTATTCTATCAAATTGTTATACATGTATCTGTTTTGTTAAGGGGAACGGTTCCACTTTAGAAAGTTTGTTATAGATAAGTTTAGAAATTTATTTTTATTTCAATGAGGGAACGGTTCCCTCTTACCGGTAACATGGCTCTCAATTTCTAAATTACTGCATTTTATTCTATCAAATTGTTATATCTATTTTGTTAAGGGGGAATGGTTCCACTTTAGAAAATGTATCATAGATAAGTTTTGAAATTTATTTTTTATTTCAATGAGGGAACGGTTCCCTCTTACCGGTAACATGGCTCTCAATTTCTATATATATTACTGCATTTCATTCTATCAAATTGTTATACATGTTCCAGTTTTGTTAAGGGGGAACGGTTCCACTTTAGAAAATTTGTTATGGATCAGTTTTGAAATTTATTTTTTATTTTGAGGAGGGAACGGTTCCCTCTTACCATGTAGGCTCTAAATTTCTAAATTATTGCATTTTATTCTATCAAATTGTTATATCTATTATGTTAAGGGGGAATGGTTCCACTTTAGAAAATGTATCATAGATAAGTTTTGAAATTTATTTTTTTATTTTGATGAGGGAACGGTTCCTGTACGAAAAAGTCTGGGCAGAATGCAGACAGAATCTGTACAGACTTTATTTAGAAAACTCTGTACAGAGTCTGTACAGAAAAAAATCTGGTCAAATGAAACAAAGTTGAACCAGAATTCTATTAATAGATTTTAGCAATAAGGATAAAGAACGAAATCTGTACAGATTTTTTCTGAAATATTTAAATTAAGCCGATTATTTTCTGGGCAGAAAAAAAAAATCTGGGCAGAAAAAAAATCTGGGCAGAAAAAATTCTGGGCTTCTTCATATTCTGTACAGAATTAACCCTGTCCATAGGAAATATCTGAAAGGGAATTCTGCACAGAAAAAATTCTGTACAGAAAATATTCTGTACAGATTTTCGTTTTTTTTTTGGCTAAAAACAAAATCAATTTTCCTTTTGAACATTTCTTATTTATTAATTTCAATTAACAATTTTTATTCATTTCTTTCCTGGAGAGGTCTATCCAATGAGTAATAGCCTTGTTGAGGGCACTGTCATCAGGAATTGGCTTGTCTCTGTCTTTGCACCACACATCCTGACATAATCTAGAGTAAAAAAAAAAGGAATTTGAATTATGTTCATTCTATTATTAAATGATATGCAAAATTTGTAAAATATTTCAATGTGTATATAAAACAGTTAAAATTGTATACCTATATACCTTAAGTTTTTTGCACCAAGTAACATCAAAGTCACTGACTAATAAAACTGTTTACATATATCATCCCTGACCAAAGTTTGTGTTACAAATCTACACAGTCATGTAAATTGCAACATAACTTAAAATAGGAGAGATTTACAAGTGGCCAATATTCTAAAAATAGAATTGCTGATAAGCACTGACCATAGCAACCGTTGCTGGTCATACATTCTACACAATTTCCGGGAGTTTTGAATTGATTAATTTAAACTAAATGAATTGAATTATAGAATCGCAAAACCAAAAGCTAAACTATTTATTGCATAATAGAGCAAGAAATTAAAAAAAAAATAGATCTTGAGCTATCAACTGATCAAAAAGCAATTTATGAACTAATAATTTCACTGGCCCAGCTTTGACCTCAGTGCAATTAATTTTATACTCATTAGACCATAGTGGTCTGTCTCAAATCAGAGTAAATTTAACTAATATAGATAATTCATAGACTATTAAAAGATGTATAAATAATTTCTTTTATTTACAGTGGAAGGTATAACCAAATAATTCAAAGAAAAATTCAAAGAAAACATTGCAAAATCTTACCTCTGGTTTTGATTATAATTCCATCATAATTCCTCTTTGGTCCCTAAATCTGAGAATTTCAAGTCTCTACATGATTGCTCTTCACAACAACTAACTTGTTTACTTATCATTAGAAAAATAAACTAAACAAAACATATTAATCTTTGCCAATGTTTTAATCTTTGCCAATGTGAAGACACTTTGTGTAATAAAACCTCGTGTGGCAGTCTGAGAGATTTGAATTGACCAACAGGGGTTACATGGGGGTTACACCTGATATTACAGAATTATTCTATCTACTACTCTGAGATTAACTCAGAGTGAAATTCTGGCTAGAAAAGTAAATTCTGTCTCAAGATTTATCTAAGTGTTAAAATTCTGTGTGTCTATGTAAATCTGCCTCAAATTTTTTTCTAAGTATTGAAATTCTGTCTTGTAAAAATACCTAAGAGCAAAATATCTGTGTGAAAATTTTTCTGTACAGAACAATTTTTGATTCTGTTTTATTCTGCACAGAAAATCACCTATTTCTTAGGCCGATTCTGTGTCCAATTCTGTGTCGGTGTCAACTCTGTACAGAAAAATGAAAATCTGCCTCTATAATAACCAGAGTTGGTACAGAGTCTGTACAGAATTGGCTCAGAATTTTCGTACAGGTTCCCTCTTACGGGTAACCTTGCTCCAAATTTCTAAATTATTGCATTTTATTCTATCAAATTGTTATATCTGTTTTGTTAAGGGGGAACGGTTCCACTTTAGAAAAAGTGTTACAGATAAGTTTTGAAATTTATTTTTTATTTTGATGAGGGAATGGTTCCCTCTTACTGGTAACCTGGCTCTAAATTCTAAATTATTGCATTTTATTGTTATGGGGGAACGGTTCCACTTTAGAAAATGTGTCGTAGATAAGTTTTGAAAATTGTCTTTTATTTCGATGAGGGAACGGTTCCCTCTTACTTGTAACCTTGTTCGTAATTTCTAAATGATGGCATTTTATTCTATCAAATTGTTATATATATTTTAAGGGGGAACGGTTCCACTCTAGAAAATGTGTCATAGATAAGTTTTTATTAAATTTGAAATTTATTTTTTATTTCAATGAGGGAACGGTTCCCTCTTACCGGTAACATGGCTCTCAATTTCTAAATTATTGCATTTTATTCTATCAAATTGTTATAGGGGGAATGGTTCCACTTTAGAAAATGTATCATACATAAGTTTTGAAATTTATGTTTTATTTTAATGAGGGAACGGTTCCCTCTTACCGGTAACATGGCTCTCAATTTCTATATTACTGTATTTCATTCTATCAAATTGTTATACATGTTCCAGTTTTGTTAAGGGGGAACGGTTCCACTTTAGAAAATTTGTTATAGATCAGTTTTGAAATTTATTTTTTATTTTGAGGAGGGAACGGTTCCCTCTTACCATGTAGGCTCTAAATTTCTAAATTATTGCATTTTATTCTATCAAATTGTTATATCTATTATGTTAAGGGGGAATGGTTCCACTTTAGAAAATGTATCATAGATAAGTTTTGAAATTTATTTTTTATTTTGATGAGGGAACGGTTCCCTCTTACTGGTAACCTGGCTCTAAATTCTAAATTATTGCATTTTATTGTTATGGGGGAACGGTTCCACTTTAGAAAATGTGTCGTAGATAAGTTTTGAAAATTGTCTTTTATTTCGATGAGGGAACGGTTCCCTCTTACTTGTAACCTTGTTCGTAATTTCTAAATGATGGCATTTTATTCTATCAAATTGTTATATATATTTTAAGGGGGAACGGTTCCACTCTAGAAAATGTGTCATAGATAAGTTTTTATTAAATTTGAAATTTATTTTTTATTTTGATGAGGGAACGGTTCCCTCTTACCGGTAACATGGCTCTCAATTTCTAAATTATTGCATTTTATTCTATCAAATTGTTATATCTATTTTGTTAAGGGGGAATGGTTCCACTTTAGAAAATGTATCATAGATAAGTTTTGAAATTTATTTTTTATTTCAATGAGGGAACGGTTCCCTCTTACCGGTAACATGGCTCTCAATTTCTATATATATTACTGCATTTCATTCTATCAAATTGTTATACATGTTCCAGTTTTGTTAAGGGGGAACGGTTCCACTTTAGAAAATTTGTTATGGATCAGTTTTGAAATTTATTTTTTATTTTGAGGAGGGAACGGTTCCCTCTTACCATTTACATGGCTCTAAATTTCTAAATTATTGCATTTTATTCTATCAAATTGTTATATCTATTTTGTTAAGGGGGAATGGTTCCACTTTAGAAAATGTATCATAGATAAGTTTTGAAATTTATTTTTTTATTTTGATGAGGGAACGGTTCCCTCTTACGGGTAACCTTGCTCCAAATTTCTAAATTATTGCATTTTATTCTATCAAATTGTTATATCTGTTTTGTTAAGGGGGAATGGTTCCACTTTAGAAAAAGTGTTACAGATAAGTTTTGAAATTTATTTTTTATTTTGATGAGGGAACGGTTCCCTCTTACTGGTAACCTGGCTCTAAATTCTAAATTATTGCATTTTATTGTTATGGGGGAACGGTTCCACTTTAGAAAATGTGTCGTAGATAAGTTTTGAAAATTGTCTTTTATTTCGATGAGGGAACGGTTCCCTCTTACTTGTAACCTTGTTCGTAATTTCTAAATGATGGCATTTTATTCTATCAAATTGTTATATATATTTTAAGGGGGAACGGTTCCACTCTAGAAAATGTGTCATAGATAAGTTTTGAAATTTATTTTTTATTTCGATGAGGGAACAGTTCCCTCTTACCGGTAACATGGCTTTAAATTTCTATATTACTGCATTTCATTCTATCAAATTGTTATACATGTACCAGTTTTGTTAAGGGGGAACGGTTCCACTTTAAAAAATTTGTTATAGATCAGTTTTGAAATTTATTTTTTATTTTGAGGAGGGAACGGTTCCCTCTTACCATTTACATGGCTCTAAATTTCTAAATTATTGCATTTTATTCTATCAAATTGTTATATCTATTTTGTTAAGGGGGAACGGTTCCCCTTTAGAAAATATGTTATGATAAGTTTTGAAATTTACTTTTTATTTCGATGAGGGAATGGTTCCCCCTTAAGCATAATGTATCTCTTATTACTGAAAAATTGCTTTTTATTTATCAAAACATGTTGTATTCTGTACATGGCTTTTGTTCTTCGGGGGAACGGTTCCCCCGAAAACATTTGCAAAAGAAACAAAAAATAAAATTTGGATGTTTACTTTAGCTGTTTATCTTTTACTTTTCACAAAACAATACCATTACTTTAGCTGAAAATAATGTAAAAATAGTGCATTAAAAAGGGGAACGAGTGTATTTCCCCTTTTTAAAATATATCATATTCTACTCTTATAATGTTCCCAATATATGCTTGTGTACATGTGAGGAAACAGCTTCGAAAAGCATCCTTCGTTATCAACAATCTCCCTTTAGATACTGGGAAACGAAAAAAATTCTGGTGTTAACGAAAAATAATGTCCATGAAGTCAAAGGTAGATGAATTCCTTCAGGCAATTACTTCAACTTAACGTTCTTTTGCATTGTATATGAAGCTTGTATTAGCGTTCATCATCAGTTCGTGCTTTGTATTAAATAAACAGACATATGCGTAATATTATCTTGTCGAAGAAAAAAGGACCAAATAAAACAGAATAGATATCATCTCATTGCTTCTGCGTATAGTTTTGTCGAGTATTTTTCTCTTTGCTCCATAGATCGTCAAAATTTTATTTTGTTTTCTGTTATCAAAAAACAAAAGAAAAAAGAAAATATGTTGCCACTTATCGCTGTCGGTTCGAATCCCGACAGGGACTATAGATTATTTTATGTGAGGAAACTATCTAGCTAGCTTTCGTAACGTCGCTGGTTCTACTCAGTTGGCTGTTCGTGTCTGAATTAATGCATGGAAAGGCACCTGAGGTCTTCCTCCACCAGTAAAGCTGGAACGTCGCCATATGACCTATACTTTGTCAGTGTGACGTAAAACTCAATCAAACAAAAACTATAACTGTCACTGTCATGGCGTGAATACCCCCGCATACCACTTTGTCAGAATCAACAGTGGCCATTTAGAAGTAAAGGACAACCACCCTGCCAAATCTGAGGTTACTAAGCCAATGCATTGCTAAGATATGCATTCTCCATGCTTCAAATGTGAAAATTTTAAAATCAAGTTTTTTTAGTAAAGGCCCCTGTGACCTTGACCTTTGACCCAGTGAATTCAAAATCAACAGGGTTATTTACTAATCATGACTAACCTCCATGCCAAATATGACGGCTGTGGGCCAAAGGAATCTTAAGTTATTGGGTGAACAAGTTTTTTAAAGTCAAGGCCCCTGTGACCTTGACCTTGACCCAGTGACCCCAAAATCAATAGGGGTCATCTACTAATCATGACTAACCTCCATGCCAAATATGAAGACTGTGGGTCAAAGGAATCTCAAGTTATTGGGCGGACAAGTTTTTCTTTAGTCAAGGGCCCTGTGACCTTGACCATTGACCCAGTGACCTTAAAATCAATAGGGGTCATCTACTGATCATGACTAACCTCCATGCCAAATATGAAGACTGTGGGTCAAAGGAATCTCAAGTCACTGGGCGGACAAGTTTTTTAAAGTCAAGGCCCCTGTGACCTTGACCTTTGACCCAGTAACCCCAAAATCAATAAGGGTCATTTACTAGTCATGACTAACCTCCATGCAAAATATGAAGACTGTGGGCCAAAAGAATCTCAAGTTATTGGGCGGACAAGGAAAAACCGACCGACGGACGGACGGGGAGACGTCCGGACGGCCGGACGGACGTTCCTACTGAGTTGACATTATGGGGTTTTTTCTTTGATCTCCTTTGATCTCTAAAACCCCATAAGCAACGTATTTGCACCCCATAAGCAACCTTTTTCCTCACAAGTACCGTCTATACGGATTGAACATAGATATTCACCCCACATCGTCATTTCAGTAAGCTCGGACAAGCTGATTTCAGTATACCCACCTTACAACTTCGTTGCGCTGGGTTATAATGAAAAATAGGTTTGTCATAATGTACATTTCCGCTATAATTTCAATATTATTTTAACAACCGCTTATCATTATAACGCTTCTATTACAGACTAAATTAACTGTCCCAGTATATTTGTCATCACATTTAATTAATTTTGCAAGAAAGTATACGAATATTTCTTTAAAAAGTATGTCAGGTGATTCGGAGCAGCTAAACGGTCCTATTCTAGATATGTGAAAACTCGAAAGAAGTATCTTTGAATGAAATAAAAGTTTGTCTAGGTAATATTTTAAGAATTGAATCTCCTTTTTGGTAATCACTGCAGCGTAACGGGTTCATGGAGGTATATATGAAGATGACCACATACACTGACCATATGATATAAATGTTTTGACAAATGATTCCTGGAAGTAACAAAATAAACAGTACGATTTTATTCTGAAAGACAATGTTATCTTATGACAGAAATGAATCAATTTCGCTGAGATAGAATTAAAAAAAAAGTGTGTTTGTATTTCAAATTTATGATGAATTTATGAAAAAAAGATAATTATATTCTTTGGTATTTCCAAATGGATTTGTAAGAGAAAGATTATGAAATAAGTAATGGAATGGCTCGTGGCTATTTTCACATAATGTGAGATAATGAATTTAAATAATTAATATTATTGCTTGCTTTATACAAAAGAAAAGGTTATCTAAATAACTTTAGAGTCGGATCTTATATTATTGATATCATGTTTGTTACTAGATTTAGAAGTGTATACAGTAGAACACAAATCAGAACTCAATTACATTTATTTTCAAAATGCATCTTGTTTGTACAAGCTTCCAGTGACACTATGCAGTTCATATTTATTTGATAATACATTGCTGATGATAACGATCTTAACTACTAATGCAATATCTTATTCTTACCGGTAAATTTTCTACAATATTATTCATGAAAATATTTCTTAACCGCACTATCTAACAAAGAATAATAAAAAGAAGATATCAGCACGGTCCGTGAACACAGCACAAAAATTGATTTTGATGTAAGCAGTGAGACCAAAGAAAGTGAATTTGTAAATATTATTGAATAACAAATACATTAATCATATCGAATCATAACGAAACGTTAGCTTTGATGAAATTATCTACTATTTCATAAGAGTTTGAATAAAATATTCAGCTTTAGAAATATGAAAATCAGAAGCTTCTTTAGTCAAAACCAAAAACATACACGTTTTGTGTTTGCGAATTGCCATAAATAAGTGGTGAACACATCTTTTAAAAAATGTCAAATATAATACATTGTCATGTTAAGAAAATACAAGATGTAAAATCCCGATTGTATGTTTGAATAGAAATTACGCGTATTCAATTGTAAAGGTCAGCTGTGTAAAGTTGCGAGTGTTTGAAAAAAAGTTTTACAACTAAACAACCACTCTTTCTCTTTAACCATTCCATCGAAATATAAAATATTTAGTGATTACAAATGTTTTAAAATTCCAATCACCATGTTTAACATTTAGAGAACAAAAGAAATTTGGAATATCTGTTTCGTACTCAATTCTAATAGGACATGTGTTTTCAATCGGACAATAACGTCTTGGATCCAACCCTGTTTAACAGTTATGGTAATTAAATAAATTATTATAACATCAACATGAATTAAATGACATTGTGTGCTTTTTTTCATTACTTGTTCATTGGCTTGATCATGTAAGTACACATTTGATGGGAAATTTCTTTCCCTAATTTACATTAAGTTATAACATTTAAAATAAGAATTAAATGTATCTTCATTCATGTTCGGATAATGGAGATATTTAAGACTAAGTATATTATCTGATATTATTTTTGTAGGATAACAATGATGTAGTATTTAAAGGTCGTTATCCGTAAAACGAAATTAATAAACATTTGATCTTTACGTGCAAAACGTTCGTTTTAAAGAAAATCACATTTAATATTCTAAGTGGTATGTAAATGGTATAGTAAATGTAACATACTTTAAAAGTCGTTTTTATATTAGATATATTAATATGTTTGAATACCTCTTGTTGATTTTGATATTGGTAGTTTATTATCTTTCTAGTGAAAACAGATTCAATAGTTTAAAGTTTTATTTTATTTTGATAGATCTCATAGCATCATAATAAGTACTTAAAGTACTATATAATACGATATGATTCTTAGTTATAATATCATTAATGCTTCATTATCTTATTTCATTTATGCCTTATTATCTATTTTTTCATTTTTTCTCAATCAATTATAGAAACTGTATACACTAATCAATATATATGTATCGATTTGACAAAATACTGTTTCTTTGTTTATATATCAGAAATCAAAGATTATTCAAGTATAAACAGGTATCAGGACACTGAAAAACTTGAAAGTTTACAAGTATTTATGATTGATTTGATTCTCGAGGAATCTACATACTTTTTAAATGATATTCCCACAACAACGTGTTTCAAGATGGTTTTTTGTGAATATATCACTGGTGTCTTTTGGTCCCAACACCTTCAGGTATTTTAACAACAACAAAAAAAAAAAATAACAAATTACGTATTTAGTCAATCGTTTTTTTTTTGTTTTTGTTTTTTTTTCCAAAATTTAGGACATCAGAGTGGCACTTATTTCATTCTTTACATGTAAATCTGAACACAATAATGTTAATAGATGTAGTGATAATATTGACAACATGCGTTATTATGCAAAATACTCATCATATCGTAAAAAGTAACTATGTCTATATTATATCCAGCCTAAACAGTGAATGGTATTTCTGAACGTATCGAATCGATATCTAATTCTGAGATTAAAGGCATGCTGGAGGTAATAGATTTCTAAATAATACGTATTCCCTTCATAATTTATGCTCATTTAGCTTCCTCATAGGTTATTTAGCACAAATGTAATGAACAAACATCAGATCTAGAGTGCTTATTAAAATACAATTTAGGCTCCCGGTTCTCTAAAAATACAATATGCTTTTCTTTGACGAGCTGGTAAAAATGAAATAAGTTTCTGTGTAGTAGATTAATAGTTCATTGAATGACGCACATGTGAATTAATAATGCGTTTCATTTATATTATAAGTCACAAAAATTTATTGACTTCAATTGATTGATTTCTAACTTCGCCAATTATACTAAATACCGCCTAGATAAGTTAATTCTATTCTGCCATAATGTCTTTAAGTTGATAAATATAATCTTCATG